GTTTTTCTGCTTGTCATTTTTACTTAAATACAAATATTAATGGAGACCTAAACGTGCCCTTTTGCTATTGCCCTTTATTTTGCTTTTCTATAAAGATTGCTCATAATCCTACAGCTATCTTTTTGCACTTTAAAAGGTTCTTGCTTCTTATTGCTGTCAGGATAATAATGCTGCATCATTCCACCTAACTACCAATAAATAGAAATGCAGAGCCATGACTTCTATTCAAAAGCATGCAGGCTCCTTTGTATGTTTTGATATATATAAAATATATCTTTCAACTTGTAGCTGTAGTACAACATCTGAATTAAATCATGACTTATTCTTTCTATTAAAACTGTGTTGTCCTTGCCATTATCCCTTTTTCCAGTAAATGAGTACAATGAAAAATTGATTCTAGCTGTATTGGATTGCAGCAAAGTAACGAAAGATGATTGTTACATTATCAAAGTCCTCTCTGCATCCATAATATAAGAATTGAAAACACCTGTCTTTATCTTCTCAATCAATATTGCACCTGAGTCACATTTTCCTGGAAAACACTTTAAAAGGTGTCCACTGTATGTTATTTAGATTTAACAAATGCATTATTCAGGCTGTCTTCATTTATTTTGATTACCTGAGATTGCTCTGCCATCCCTGTGAGTTATAAAAAGCCTAATATTAAAAGCCACACTAGACGAGTATGTCAGTAACAACATCAGATGGCTTCTCTTATGTAAAGTCGTGTGACAGCTGAACAAGTACACTTTGTAAAATATATGTGGAAAACTGGTGTTCGAGGGGAACATTTCATATCATGGCACTCTCTTTCTATCAAGTGGAGCAGGGCAGAGGGCTTCAGTCAAAGGTAGCTTGACCAGTATGACCCAGTTGGAAGCAGATTTGGGGAAGTGACAGTAGACATTAGTCTGCATTTCTAGAAAGGATAAGCCAGAGCTGGCTGCCTGACACTGTCAGCTGTGCTTTGCAGACATGCTTTCTAATACTTTTTACATGCAATGCTTAAGAGCAGCTAATTTACTCCATGTCTCAATAGCAGTCTGAAACTGCTGAGCATCCAGTAAGAACAGAGAAATAAGTGAGCAGCTCTAGAGACACAGCCATCATTTCAACATGTACATTTGCATATTCCATCTAATGCCTCAAGTCAGATGCCTAAAATTAGTAGATTTATTTGGATGTGTGGAAATAATGGTAATTTGTTTCACAGCAATCAATTTGTGATGCTTTGATTTCCCTTTCTGTAGAATTAAATTATTAAGGGGCAAATATGATTTTCAAGATACTTTTTATCATTCTCTCTGCTTGAAGTTTTGGCAAGTTTGACATACTATAACCCAACATTCTGCCATGAGTAATAAATACTTTTTAAAAACCCCAATCAAATAAAAAACAAATTAAGTACGAGACATGCAAAGAAGTGAGGGACAGCAGGCTAGCAGTACCTTGCCAGGAAACGTGACCATAATAGGGGTCCCTTTTCCATATCTAGCAATTATCTGCAACCATGAGGGGCAGCAGCAGTGGTCTGAGTGGAGAGACTGTGCCCCTCAGTTTCTGTGTGGGGCAGTGTTGAGACTGCAGGGAGTCAGATGAAGGGTTGAGCTGTTCTTCAGAGGTGCCTTCATGATCCTCTGCACACAGACCTCCTTTCTGGCAAGTCCCGTAAGGCACAGGCTAATGGGAATTGCAGCAGCTCCATCCCAGCAGAGACAGGGCTGCTGCAGTGGTGTTTAGCAAAGGGTACCTGCTCCAGGATTTGAGGCTGGTACAGTCCTGCCCTAGGCAACAGGGAGAGATGATGGTCATCTGAGTCCTGCTCCTCAGCTCCCTGAACAGAGCTGGGGCAGGACTCTGGGCAGAAGGAATGTCCTTGCTATCCAGGAGAGGTCTCGAACTACACCTGATTGCTGTTTGCATTGTCCCCAAGATGCCTGGTGGTGACCCACAGTGATGTGACACACACTTGGTAAGCAGGAGTAAGCAAGCTTGAGTGTTCAGATTTTGGTCAGTACCTGAGGCTAACTCATGCCAACTCATTCCCGGAGCCCTGAAGAGCAAGAGGCCACCCCTGTTCTAGCAGTGAAACCATCAAAGCCCCTGCCTACACTTCTCTTGCATTTGGCAGGAGTACCCATATTTTTTTTCCCATCCTCTGCTCTCATTTTGTTTCTCTGTTTAAAAATCTTGCTTTTTGTTTTAGCAGAGGAGTAAAAAGATCTGCTTAAAAATTAACTTCAAAGCCCTTAGTCATTGCACAGCTACAAGCACAGGAATATTCCCTCTCAATCGTTTTTTATTCTTGATTTTGGTTTTTTGTTTGTTTTGGGGATTTTGTTTGGTGTTGGGTGTTTTTGTAGCTGGGCAAGGAAAGACTGGACTGGTAAGTCAGAACCCCAGCTTCACCATGCCTGCACACAGCCAGTGCAGAAACCTGGCCCTGCTGCAGCATGCCCTGGGATCACCCCATTCATGCCCCACTGACCCATCAGGACAGTGTTTATTCAGGGTCCAGTAAGCTGTGATATTTCCTCACTCATTTGTGCCAGTTCCTCAAGTCCCAGAGGGGTCAGACCTTGCTGTGGCTCTGTACATGGGCACCAAAATGACAGGGGAGCAGAACAGCCCAGGCAAGTGCCAAGCCTTGTCTTCAACTGTCCTGGATATTTAAAGCGATAATTCAGCAACATCTGAAGTTTGCTTTGGCTCAGGGGAGCCCCTGAGTGCCAGGATGCCTCTGTCAAACATTTAACCTTTAACTGGCAATATCACAGTGATACCTGGATGGGAACAGGCCTTCTCAGGAGCTGTGCACACCTCTGCTGCCAGAACAGCCTTGCTGGTGGCATTTTGGAACTTCTACTTCTGCTCCCAGCCAGACCAAAGGTAAGGAGAAGAACAAGAAATAAGAAATTACATGGAAAAAATGTGTCTAGCTCTGATTAAAAGTTACTCCTATTGGAACTTGATCTCCATGCATCTGTCTGGCCCCTCTCCACATGCCTGTCCCCTGCACAGAGGTGTACACAGAGGATCTCTCAGTTGAATTTCTTCCTCTGCTCAGGCCAGGAGTGTTCAGAAGGTTCTGCCTGCACCACTGGGGGTGGTGGGAGGGGGCTGTACACCTGGATCTGTGGGAACCTGCAGTCCTGCTATCTGCAGAAATGAGCTGCAAAGCTGCTGCTTAGCTCTAACCCTTAATGTATTCATATTATCTCATCAATGCAACTAGCAAGTGAACTAAAAACTGAGTTTATGATGCGATTCTGGCTTTCATTAAGGAATTTTGTACCTATTTAAAAAATATATGCAGGAGCATGTTGCTGATTATTTTGAGAACCTATGCAAATTTATTGATTTGCAGTAGGAAAGGCTTGCTGTGAAGTGTAAATTAAGCCATTTAAATAATCTTGCATGGTAACTGGAGCATCAGCTCTGTTCACTCACTGAGTTAATACCCTGTTTCCCACCATTGTTTTACAGTTGTGCTTGTGGTCATTGCTGGCCTAGAAGAGATAGCTGCTGTCCTCCTGCTTATCTTTGGCAGCAGATAACCCTCCTGCTCTCTGGGCTGGGTTTTGTTTGTTGCTATTTGATGGTGTCCCAAAGTATGCTGGCTGCTCCTTAGGCCACGCAGGACTGGCCCCCCTCAGCAGAACAGGACACGGGGGCCTTGAGTGGGGGCAGTCTGCAGAGCCAGGACATCAGTGCTATGTCAAGCTCTGCTTTTCATTGCTACGGGTTACTTAAAAAACCTCTCTGTGGGCAGTTTCCACCTAAATACTTCTGCCAAACATGATCAGGGATCTATTCAGTTTCATCCCCATCCCAAGTCACCAGCGGGTCAGATGTAATTGAAGATTAGACAGACCCTAGATTTTTTTCATGTCCCTGCATATGGAGGCTGTTTTAAAGATAGACCAAGGGAGGTGTTAACACATAAATCCTGTAGATAGTTGTATTGGTTCTCAGGCAAACATACACATGAGCATGTTTTCAGAAACATGGAGTTGAAGGCTGAGGTAGAAAAGATTCTCTGGAATTCCTAACTGAAGCTCTGCCCTCAAAGCAGGAGATTGCACAAAGTAACACACCAGACAGGTGAGGGCTGCTTTAGCAGGTGCTCTTCACTAATTAAAAAGCTAAGATGGAAGTTTTCTGTGGTAGAATAACTTTCGCCTTCACCTATGTTTTATGCTAACATCACAGTATAGGCTTTTAATGAGTTGCTCTCAAACCTGCTTTTTCCTAACAATAGAAGTAGAGTCATTCAGTAATTGAAGGGTTATTTGATACAGGAATAATATCCATCAAGGCAAAACCACCTTGACTTTTGAAGGCCTTGCACGTGATGCACATAGCATTTGCCCTTTTAGAAAAGCACAGGCTTTTAGGATAACAGACCACTGGCTGAGTCAAGTGATATTGAGTGGCTCAAAACTATAACTCAGTCCTGCTATGCAATGCTGCATCCATTCAGGGAAAAAACAATGTTCTAAAACTTCCAGATGAAACAGAGAGAAAAAGTTAAATGCAAATGTTAAAATGCATGTTTTAGTTCTCACATTTTACAAATTTAAGAGGTGCTGAATTTTACTGACAGTTTTCTTGGCAGCAAATGAATTCCAAAGATGCACATGCAAATATTTGTCAAAACTGAATTTTCAATTTTGCATGCATAAGGATTACTCCAGAAGTGCTGGCATACTCACTTGCTCCCAGAAGAAAAGTAATGTCATGTGGTATATCTGTCCAATCACAGAAAAACTGTGTATTTTTAATTTTAAATATTCTGATTAATCCATAGCGTAAAAAAATATAGTGAAAAGGAAGTCACTGAATATATTTGAATAATAAATTTAAGATGGTGTGATTGGCTTATATATATTCCCCAAGCAAGGAGAAACAAAATTAATCAAATAAATTATTCATTTTGAATTATTTGTTCAGGTCTGTTTTTACAAGTGATGCCTACTAGTGATGTCTGAATTTTGCAGTTTGTTACAGAAGCTCTCATATCATGTGTCCTGTTGTCCTGATACCCACTGCTTTGTTTGGGTCTGACTCCTTCACAGGTGAGTTCTGCATTTGCTGTGTTGGTATATCTTCCATGAAAGAGTTGCTAAAAGCAATCAGGCCTTTAGTAGCAGGCACTGAAAGTCCAAGGTGCTCGTTGACCAAAAGTCATTAGAAATATAATGGTGCCCATTTCTACTAAATCATTACAGCACAAATAGCATTGTTCTGCCTTGGCCTTTGAGCAGAATTAGATTCAGGTTAGAGTGCATCTGTGTGCTTACCCAGAGAAGCACTCAGTGCTGCTGTCCTAATTGCACCCCAGATATCCAGACCATATTTACAGAGAGGATTTAATGGTTCTGCCACCAAAAGTCTGTTAGCCTTTCATTGCATTTATTTTCATCAGAGAATCCAATCACTGTGTTCTCTGAGATAAATACAGTAATTAAAATATAATTATTCTTTCTTTAATAGCTACGTCATGTATGATACTTGTCTGCAGTCTTGTTCCAAGCTCACAGAGGAGGGAGAGCACAAAGTTGAACTATTTAAGTGTTTATCAGTCTCCTGACATTAATAAAGCCCTGCACTGGGAAGGGGACAGTGAGTTGCTGAGCAGAACTGGGCCTGGAGCAGCAAACCACCCCTCGTGGTGGATGGGGAGCTGAGTGTGTGCAGGGGGGCTGGGGGGCTGTGAGGGGCAGTGTCTGCAGCTTTCCTGAAGCCCCAGGTCTCACCACTTTTGTGAAGCAAAGCAACAAGGTGCTAGAGCATCATTTTCCTCCATCCACTGAAGGTGAGTGATGGAATGACAATTGATGCTGCAGCACAGTCCTGCTGGGGGGAATTTAAAGTGCTAAACAATGTGTCTCTGCTCCAAAACTTACGTGTGAAACTGGGGGTTGTATCAAGAGCCTGCCAGCCACATCCTGCTGCCCAGACAGCAGCCAGGGCTGGTGCACAGGGGGATTGTGACAAGGCTGGCAAAACCCGGAGCAGAATGGTCAGCTTTTTTTTTGTAAAAACTGCCAGATGATTGTGAATTTCGTTGCCAAACATGGCTCTATTTGAAACACAAAAGTGCACAAATGTAAGTGGCACTGTCAACTCCCTAAAAATCACATTTTTGGAAGTCTGTAATAGTTGTTCTGTTCCATATGTGGAGGGATTTTTATGAAATGTTCCAGGCAGAAAGTGAAAAACTCTGTGGTATACTGGCACGATAAAGCTATCTTGCATGAATGCAGTGCTTTCCACTTAAAGTGACTTGCATAAGTGGCAATATTATCCCCATTTTGCTGATGAAGAAACTGAAGCCCAGCATTTCCTTTGAGTCACATCCAGTGAGCAAGGATAAAGCCAAAAATGAATGTGCTGACATGCAGGATTTCCCATTGCCACCAGACAGGTTGTCACCACTGAAAATATTTCATTCTGACTTTATAGTTGTCTTCTCCCTGATTAAAGTACCGTCTTACTAACCACTTTATTTCAACACAGTAGAAAAAAGGAATTGTCTGTATTTGCTTCAATCTGTTCTCCAAGGCATCTCATAATGTGGCAGGAGACCTTGCAAGCTGCACTTGCAGTGACTGGGCACACCAGAGAAGAGGCCGTGTCCTAAATTAGCTGATGCAACTGGTGCCTGCACTAAATCTATTTCTGTGCAGGTCTAGAATATATGGAAGGCAGCAAAATGTGGCTCCTAGAAGACTTATGTTGTCTGTAAGGAATCATTATAACTTTGGTTAGAATTGTTAAACATTCAGCAAAACTGCACGAGATGTAATTATGTGAGTTATTGATCAATGTGTATTAAGAAAGACCTCCATGTAGGTCATTATGAAGCATTATTGGGGCCTCCAAGTGCATCAATAAAATAATTTATTTCTTCACATGGATACTAAAGAAGACTTAGAAAGATGCCATTTGCAGAAAGCTGCTTTTGCCAGTAAATTATATTTACATCTGCTGCATATGGATAGGCGGGATACAAGCCAAGTATGTGATGGTGGGAAGCAGCTTGCTGCTTCTGTTTTGGGAAAGTTCATAACGGTTGAAATTTTGGACAAATTAGATTCTGAATCAAGCTAGAGAGACAGCAGCAGATGAGCTCAAAAGTTTAGTTGCTCCAGAAACTCCATTCAGAATAATATACTATCTCACGTGTCTTGTCTCTCCATCAGAGTTCTGAGGATAATTTCTGGTTGCTGATGAGAGCAGAGAAGAAGAGAGGATCTTGTACTGAAAGGGAGAAAAACACCACATAATCTGCTTCACTCTGAGTTTTGTGTTTGGAAAATAAGGACGTGGAAGAGGTCCATCTTTGCTGCCATTTGGATACAACTACAAGAAAAATTAAAAAGGTATGAAAGGCAAACTATGCCAGTGGCAAATCTGGTCTTCTGCAGTGGTTTGTGCCCAAACACAATATAGAGGAGAGATAAATTCAACTACACTTTTTGGGCAAACTGTAATGCTTGGGGATGAAGGATACAGATACAGGCATTTTGTCCTCAGAGACAAATGAGTGCTGCAGTAATTTCCCTGGTACAAAACCAGAGCTGAACATACACCTTCCACAAGGTCCTCTGGCCTGGCTTTGCACCTTTTTAGGCTCTTGTCCTGCTGCCACCTCCCTCCATTGGGCAGCAGCTGGGGGCTGGTGGGGAGTAGCCTGGAGCGTTATGATCAGGGTCCAAGGTGGGATCTCAGCCCCAGGGCTCCCCCCTGGGGAGGAGCTTCCCCTTCAACAGGAAGATTCCAGGCAAGAGCTGCTGAGGCGTGGGTGGTGAGCAGCTTTTGCCTTTGCTGGTTGTGCATTTTGTCCCTCTGGATGAGCAAGAAGCTGGATCTGCCTCCCAGTGCTGTGCCTAAGACAGGAGGAAAGCACCATGTCTGGAGGATCTGTCCAGCAATGCAGCCTTCACGTTACTGTTGTAAATCAGGAACACAGTGCAGACCCTGATGTTGTTTTGCAGTGCAGAAAAAGCAGTCTTCTTTAGAGAGCGTGATAAAAATGGGCTCTGCCTTAATCTCCACACCTGAGGCTGGATTAGTGACTCAAGCAAGCAGAGCTACTGTTCTGTAACCCAAATAATGTCTGAAATGCAGTTTGGTGGAAATGGCTGCACTGCATGTTTAGGGAAACAAACACAGAAGGAAGGGGGAGAACGAAGGGCTTTTCAGTCACTGTGCTGATAGTTTGTTGGCTTGTAGCTATTCCATATGAAGAGCTGGCTGAAAGGTCACCAGGTGCTTTCAGGGCTGGCTGCTGACAGGCGAGATGTGTGTTAGAGTGAGTGAGCAGGCTGTGCACAGCTGTCCCTCACTTGCTGGGGATGAAAGCCTCTCGTGGTGGCAGAGGGGCTCAGGGGCTTCTCAGCATCGCTGCTGCTGGAGTGCACAACAGGGCCCTTTTGCAGGACTCTGCACCTTCCCTGTGTGCAGCAGCACACAGAGGCCATGGCTTTGTCCAAAGTCATGGACACTGACTGATCCCTGTGCATTCCCTGGCCCGAGAGCCTCCTGCAAGGATGCCACTGCCAGCCTTTCCTGCCCAGGGTGTACCCGTGCATTGTCTCACAGCACCTACCTCTGTTTCTCTGGCAACTATTTCACTTTAATCCATGTTCTGAGTCACATACAGACAGTGACAGCTTGCAAACAGTGGATATTTTGCAAATCTAAATTAAAATTTTCCTGCCATGGATATAGGGGCAGAAGACCCTAAAGGAGACTGAAGACCCTTTCCCAAGCAGGACAAGTGCTGCTGAGGCTGGAGCAAACCTGACTCTGCAGCAGGCAGACTTCTGCCTTACACTCAGTGGCTCCTGGCAAGTAAAATTAGAGCAAGTACTACAGTGATTTGCAGAAGTAAATGTTTATTTCACCAGTAAAATGCAAATGTCTGGTGTAGTCCCACAAAGTGTACACTCCTGCTGATGGCACTTGTTTGTGGCTGTCCGAGTTTGGATTATGTTTGCCTCTCAAATTTAATAATTTTGACAAGTTAGTTTCAGCCCATTCTTGACAATGAAAGTAACTGTGAGGAATGTAGTTTTGGTGTGTGTCAGTGCCAGCCCTGGGCTCTGCCACTTGCCTCCAAGACTGTTTCTTTCAGTAAGGGGCACACCCCTCTCTCTCACGGGCTGCTGTGACCAGTCTTTTCTCTTTAGTTGGAGGGAGTAGCTAAGCCGGTGACTAAAATCCACCACACCAGAGACAGCTCCCAGCAGATCTCAGAGGAGCTGGAATGTGTCTGCTCTGGTTCCAGGGCTCCCTGGCATGCCCTGCTCCCAGTGCCCAGGACCCCAGGCATGCCTCTGCCTTGAGCATCTCTGACTGCACTTGCTCCATCCAGCCCCTCCTCTACAGGTGATGAATACTTGGGTGTGTAAATTCAGAGGAAATTTAAGAAAAATTGGCTAGAGAAATTAAAACTGCCTCAGGCAGCTTAACTTGTACAGCAACACATACAGTACTTAGCACCCTAGATTTCATTATTCTTAACAGCATAACTGGAGTCCTATTTTCACACATGAAATATTCTTGGATTTTTTTTCCCCAATGAGCAGACATATGATTTTTTTTTCTCTGCCATCAACATGCATGTTTTGTCCTTTCAGAGACTTTTTTCAAACTGGAATACAGATTAGTTTTACCTACGATTTAAAGAACTCCAATGCTTGGTAAGGCCTCAGTTCCTGTTTTTTATGGAAATGCAAAGCTGTGGGGCTATGGGGAGCTGCTCACTGCTTAGCACTTCTGAGAGCAGAGCTGTGCAAGAATACACTATTTTCACATCGAGGCTTTCACAGGCGATGTGAAATTTGACTGTTTGCCATGAAAAAGCAATCTCCTTAAGCAGGGATAGGCATGCTCTTGTGCTCTCCCAGGCCAGACCTGCAAAACCCTGAGAGCATGAAGGGAGAGGAAATGTCAAAGCCTATGATAGGCAGGGACCAAATGACCAAGGCCCATTGTATGTGCCTGAGGTAGAGGCTGAGGGTGTCTAATGAGGAGACTGGCAATATCTGCTATTTCTATTTGCCACTGGAAAGAGTGAGGGGAAATGCTGGAAACCAAGCCCTGTGGCAGGCAGACTCTCAGGTAAGACACCCACGGTGTGGGTGGGAACACACCAGAAGGCATTTGTTGAAGCAGAGTGGGGGAAGCTGGGGGTGGCCAGCCTGGTGGGGGGAGGTTGGGTGAGTCCTGTCATGGGCTTTGGGAGGGTTGCTAGCATTGGTGTCAGTATTACCTTTGCATTTCCACTTCTTGGGTTAAGACTGTGTGCAATGAAAACTTGTGTATCAGGGTTTTAGTCAAAGGCAGTTTTTGCCCACACATGCCTGCCTAGATCTTGTTGGGCTGTTTCATCACATCTTTCTAAAGCCCTAGAGGCCTTCAGGGTGAGATTTGTGCAACAGAGAGCTGTTCATCAGAGAGGAAAGCCCAGAGTCTGCCAGCTCACTAAACATGGGTGTCTGCATTTGAGAGGGCTGAGCAGCTTGCTAGGCTCCTCTGCTGTCTAATATAAAGCCCTATGGACTGAAAAAAAGTCTGGGGCTGCTTGTGGGCCTGAATCCCATCCTTGGGACTCTATGCTGTGAGACAGAGGGTCCTCTTGTCTCTGCCTCATGTATTTTACCCTCCCCTGGCACTCCTGGGCTGTGGGTCCCTGCTGGTGCAGTGCTGTCCTGCTTTCAGGCATACCAGGCTACCTCATGTGAAGTGTCAAGTGGCACTAGACATTCATGATTAGGAACTCAAATCCTTCTGTAATTGTCCTGGGACCAGAGCGAGTGAGTGCTCTGGTGCAGAGTATCATCTTTCCTAAGATGATCTTCAGGTGTTTCAGTCCTACTGCTCATTAAACTTAAGCCTCACCTGCTGGGATGATCCGGGCATATCTCATCTAAATAATTCTTTGCTATTCCAGGGGGCTTAGATATTCCTGGCAGCTTTGTCTGTCTTGTTCTCAACCAGTGAAGCACAATTTAATTTTAGGACTTGAAATGTTTTACTCTAATGAAGTCTCTGAGTTTAGAGCACAGGTGAAATGCAGTAATATATATTGTACAAGAGGTCAAACTAAATGAACTAGTACTCCATTTTGGCCCTAAATTATGAAGTTCATGGAATGATTTCTAATAATGAATGCATTTGTAAAACTTGGATGCCTTCTCAGGGATAATCTGCAAACAGAAAAACAACTTGTTTTGTTAAGCAGACTGTGACAAACAGTTCTTCCAACTTTATGCTATACAGACATGTATTTTTGGATATTCTTTGGGGGAAAAATCTACTGCAGCCAAATCTACATAACCTGCAAGAAAAGAATCTGAAACAAAACTAAAGATATATGTAGATTATGAAAGGTAGAGAATCAGGTTGGAATTCTAATGTAAATGTATGTCACTATCAGTAGAGATCACTTGTAAAGCACTATTTTAACTTGAAAAGCCAAGAACTAGAATATTGAAGTGAAAGTCTTTTTACATGTGCATTTAGAACAAAAGGCACCCTGTCATTAGAAATTATATATAACAGGCAGACGAGGGTTGTTGTTTTCAGTGTTTGGTTTAAATGCAATAAAGATGAACAAAATTAAAATATGTTCATTGATGCATGAGGATGAAGTCAAGATCAGAAGTACAATTTCCTAATTTTTAGATTTATTCAAAGACTCTTCCTTTGTATTAACTGCTACAGATGTTTAATGAATACTTAAAACCAAACACCGCTTCCCACCTTCCCCCCAACTGTGTTCAGTGTGTTTTGTACAGGCAACCTGATAAAAAGAATATCTAGGAGGAGGGGAAGGCAAAATCAAAGTTGATGTATCAGAACATCTACTGCATGTCTAAATACAATGAAATTTGAACTGTGTGGGTGTATTCACTGATTTTAAAGAGCGTTCATTGATTTTAGTTTTATTATGTTTGGAATTGTGGTATGTTACACAAAGACCATTTTACTGATCTTTATGATTCCTTAAAAGCCTATAACAATTTGGATAAAACTGGCTGCTCTGTATTTTTTCTTTGTTTCTACTGTTAGACTTTATGCTTAGCTCCAGGTATAATGAGAACACAGAGCTTTCTTCTCATCTCACGGAAAATTATAGAAATATTGCTACAGGCTCTAGGGCATCCAGGCACAGGATACATCCTGGATCCTTCAACAAAGACACCTGGTTTGGCCATGTGTGGAGTTGGGATATTATGAGGCTGACATGAACTGAACCTGTGGTAACAACAGAGTGTTGGAAAGGTACCAGTAAGACCAAATTTCCATGAGATTTCAGAGGTGCAATGCCCTGTTCTGATGAGATTCTCTCCTCCAGCCACCTGTCTGAAAGTTCACTTCCCAGTGTGAACATGGAAAGGATAAGCTTGGTGAAAAGGTGAGCCAGTGTCCAAGCAAAACTCTGAATTTTTCCTTTTTCCGTACAAACAGGAGGGAATTGTAGTCTGAGGAAAAATAAGACACAATATCCAGCAGTGTCAGATATAACCAGGGAATGGTAAGAGGACTTAGAGCAGGGGAGTGGGAGTCCTGAGAGTTGGGGAATATTTATAACTCTGCAGAGATCCCACTGTGTGGACTTGGACAAAGTGCTCCAGATTGATGTGAATATCAGTAGCGATACATAAGACCCCTGTTGGCTTCCACAAGCTTTGAAGTATGTTTGAACCAGACTTCAGTGGCTCAGTATGCGCTGCACTACCTGCTCCTGTTCTCCCAGGCTGAAGCACAGACCTCCTGTGTGGAGCTGCCAGGCCAAAGCTTTTTTTTCTCCAAGACCTGGAGGAGACAGAACAAGGATGCAAGGTATTGGAAAGAAAGGCTTTTGTGTGGAGAGACTGGACAGTGAAGGACTGGAAGGTGTCACCTTTATGGGAAGAGGCCCCACCTGGCTGGGCATTCCTTGCCTTGGATGCCCAGGGCAGTTTTCTCTGAGCACAGCAGGGCCTGTTGGACACACTAAGATGTGGCAATTAACCCTTCTGTGCCAATTGGCCAGTACTTGCAAGGAAGTTTGATAGGACAGCGTTACCACAGGCTGGAAGCCAGAGGGGACAAAAGGCCAGTTGCTGCCAGGCACAGGTGACCCATCAGTGTAACCTGCACCTCCCAGCCTGTGGCTGGCAGCTGTAAAGCTGCAGCTGTTTTTCTGTTCTGTGAGTGAGGTTTTCACTATGGTTTCATTTCATCTGGTGGGTGAGACGTATTTCCTATAGTTAAGTTGAACAGACAACACATCATCCTGGCTACATTTTTCAAGGGTGTTTTTAAGTTTGTGCACACAGGTTTTCCACAAGGACCCACTTTTTACTCATACTCTCCCTTTGCTAAGTTATAGCAACCAAACCATGCTACATTCAAACTCCTAAGCTTTGAGATAAAAAAAAAAAAGATTTTCTGAGGAAGAAAGTATACAGTCTAATTAGTTGATGGTGTTTCTCCTCACACAATTTGTACTTCTGGATTGAAGGTTGAGGCAATTTAAGCACTGGCTTTCACCACAATGAGCACCCAGAGCTCAGATAAATTCAGGCAAAGCCTAGGCTTCCCAGGCACAGATTGTATGCTCTGTAGCACCAACCAGTATAAAGATGGAGACCTTAAAACTGATGCTGTTATTGCTGATCCCAGCTGGAGAAATTTTGGTGTCAGAAATAAGCTCATGTTTAAAGAGATTTTTCTCTAATCCTGGCATGTTTCAAAATCCTGGGTGAGATTTAGTTAAATCCTTGAAGGGAAAAGAGATGAAATTTTAACCTCAAAATCCACAACAGTCCTGAACATAAATGGACACCACAGGATCATTAAAGAGCTTATCTCCATCTCACAGACAGGCCAACACTTGCACACACTGTCTGTGTGTCACAGGGAGGTGTTGCACACCAGTGAGCTGGGTGCCACGTCAGTGTGCTGGGGGTGCTTGTGGCAGGACACCAGTAAACTCATGCCCCTACAGTCAGTGCCACTGCTGTCCAGACTGCCTTCCTCTTCATTTATTATTAGCTAAACACAAGTGTTTGTTCATCTCCCATGCTGAGACCACTGGGGTTGGGAGTAGAGGTGACACAGCACTGCTGTGTGGGAGATGGGGCTATGTGGGCAGCATGGGTTCCTTGCCTCCTCACTGGCAACCATGCACAAATTCATGATTAATTATCACTCAGAATTCTACTATCAACAGTCTCAACTGAATTACTGTGCGAGGAGGACCCAAAATGGAAAGTTTCTAGTTTTGTGACACCAGTGTTCTTCAGGAAACTCTAGTTCAAAGGGCACTGTTGGCAGTGTAAGTGTTGGGGGGAGGAAGCCACATGCTGCTGTGCTCCTGGTGCTTTGCCATGCTCCTGGTGCTTTGCCATGCTCTTTATCTTTCCCAATTACCTTCTAGAGTGCTCTTTCTACAGCAGCACCAGTTCAGTGGCTGTGAGTGGAAAGTCAGCAGCCCTAATGCAGCAGCACAGCAGCATATTTCCATTAGATTTCTCCAAAAGAGACTCTTCAGGCTTCTGTCAGAACATATTCATGACTTTTTGCATGTAAACTGGTCTCTTTCAAGATGCTGAGTTGTGTTCTTAAAAAATATCCTATTTAACCCAACAGCAATGAAGCTGCGGGCTATGGGTTTGCTTTAACTAACTGGTTAATGAATTTTTCACCACCACTTTGTTTCACACATTGTCAAAACAAGAAGCTTGTGCTTCAGAGGGAGGCTGGGTAGACTCCATTATGTAGACTCTTTCAATGCTAATTTTAAAATTTATGGAGGGTATTTGTAGTTTTTTTCTGTTTTGAAAGTATCCAGTTGCACTTATTTTAATTTGTTTTTTAATTTTTCAGAACTCTACTGATTAGACTCCACTTTTTGAAGCAGTTTCTTTTCTGTCTGGATTTAATGTGTGGTTTGTGTGCTCAGAGTGCTCAGTATTCTATGCGCTTGCTATATTGCAGGGCATACACCACAGACCCTACATAATTTTGGTTAGTTTAGGACAGATGATCCTGGCTTGTGTGAGAAATAAATTTATCTTATCAATGGCCAGTAGGATAGTCAGTAGAAATGTCAGATCATGTGTGAATTCAGTTCTCAGACTGACCGTGGTCTGTAGGTACAGTTAGAACCTGCACTTGAGTGCCATACAAGCAGAAACTCCTCTTCATGTAGACAGTTTCCCTGGCTGAAAATATCAATTTCCTTTTCCCTTGCTGGGAATACTGCAGTAGTCTTACTGAGAAGCTAAGGACAGGAAAGTTCTGGTGCAAATTCTACTACGCAGTTTTCCAGGGTGGTAGTTTTAGACAACATTGTCTCTTGCATTCATTGTGCTCTCCCAAAGACATGACACTATGGAGAGCATTAGAAGGTAATATTTGTGTTAACAGGATTCAAATGCACTCTGGTTTTTAGTCTGATTTGCGCCCACATTTAATTGTTGCAAGATTTTTGTGCCTGACAATAATTTACTGCCTGTGCGAATGTCAAGATGTAGCCATTTAGCTCACTGATTTGTGGGAGCAATGAGGTAATTTTATGCCGAGGTCCTCTCATTTGTACCTGCCAGCAATGCAGAGGCAGTCTTTCCTAATCAAGCATTAAAAGTTCTTCTTGATTAATCTCTGACTTTGTTGGAGACATTCCAGATTTAAGCCAGTGTAATTCATTTCAGGATCAGACCCATTAAGCGTTTTCCAATGAGTAATATACTGTGTCACTCCTCTGCTCTTAAAGATTTCCAAAATCACAGAGGTACTGGTGTCGATCTGGGAGATACATGTATCTTCTGACTCCACTGACACCTTCTCTCCCATTTCCTGACTTTTGGAGATTTTTCTCTAGGTGAAATTTCTTTATTTCAATTTATTTCTGCATTCAGCTGGAAGAATTAACAAATGGTGAAGTGTGATACTGTCGATCCAGTGCTCTGTGTGGCCAGGCAATCAGGACAGAAATAATTAACACAGAAAGTGGCCTGCCAGTATCCTGCTGAATGAAATTGGAAGGAGTTCAAATACAAAAAGATTTTTTAGCTTACCACTTCTGGGCTACACATAGCAATAGCCATTTGGAAGGACAACTGCCAGCTTCCATTTCAGCTTGCTTGACAGCACTAACTAGAGCACTAAGAGCATCACTCCATTTCAGCAGGAGCCGTTAGCCAGATTTGAGATGCAAAGCATTATTTCCAGACAGGGGAAGAGATCAAAGAGGGAATCAGGTGCTGCTCTGGTGTGTTGTAAGAAGGTGAATTCCTCTGAACATGGAAGGAAATGTGGTGTGGAGAGTGCCTCTGGATTCTAGCCTGCCAGGCAGCCACACGTGATGTCCCGGCTGTATGGAGACCCCCTGCTCCCCTGGGTGCCTGCTACTTGCTACTGCTGTTTCCTGCCACCCCCTGTCCCTGTCTGTCGCAGCATGCCACCATGCAGGGACGATGGCTGGGCATGGGCATGGCCACACTGTGCCCAGCTGTGTCGCTGTGTCTGTGCCTGTGGGGTGATACAGGGGTGGGGAGCTGCAGCTCTCTGAAGACTACTCTTCCCTTCCTCTTTCTCCCAGTTTCAAGAACAAATGGTGTCCGTAAAGGTCCCTTTGGGGGCAGAGATTTCTCCTGCTGGAGATGTGACCATCCCCTCTTCTACCATGGTGTATCATGGTGTACTGAGCACCCGCTGAGCATCCAGGTTAAAGATGTCTTTGTATGACACTGCTGTGCTTTAGCTCATTTCTCTGGCTTTGCCTCCCAAAATGCTTGCAGAGCCATCCTGCTATAGCAGATTCCCATGCAGAGAGTAAGAAAATTGTGCTTTGCGTGCTGTAAACTGGTTATCTGTTCTGATAAAAACTACAGCTGTACAGACAAAAATTAGTTCTGTCCTGGCAAGCTCAGAAGCTGCTGCATACCTTTCATGCCCTACAATTAGCAGTGTGTTGCTTTGTCTTACATCTGCCTACATATTCCTTTCAGGAATATGCTTGGCGCTTTCAGTGTTTTCAGAAATGGCAATGGAGCAGACAAATAGGAAAAACAAGGGAAGAGAAAAAAATTAGGAGTAGCAAGCTTCTGAAATGGTTTTCCTTTGGAAATTGTTCAGACTGGTGAACTGAGATGCCTGTGGCGAGACTGCATTGCTCTGTGTGGGCTGCCAGTTTGCACGTACAATGAACTGCACAGCATTTCTTCCAGGATCCCTAGTTCTGCCTTCTCCTGCTTAGTGGTCCTGAGATTGTCCACTTGTATCTCTGCCACTGGTATCTATCATGGACAAGCCATTACCCCAGGATCTTGCAGACCATGACCTTGCTCCTAGAGCCACTGGACAACCAAAGAAAAAAAAGTGTCATGCAGGAGCTATGCATTGTTCATATTTACAGGTAAGTCTTGCCCTTCCTTTACTTGTGTTCAGTGGTTCTTCTTGTTGAGCATGAAAATGATGGTCAGTCTCCTCTCTCTTTTGCAAGATCTCCTGATGGACATCTGAAGAGAAAGGAAGAAGTACTGGGATCTAGCTGAGTATTAACTTCAGAAAATGGCTTCATTAGCTGCTTGTGAGAGTAGTGTTTCTCACTGACATTGTCATTTGCTTCCTGTCAAATGTCCATGTTTCTCATGAATTCCTATCAGACGAATGAATTCTGATAGTAATTCTCATGAATTCCTATCAGATGAGCTCTGTTGTCTTGGTCTGGGAAGCTGCACCTCTTCTTAGAACCAGGCATGGGTTGAGATGCTTTATTAAAATAGCACCATAATTATTATGAATAATTGTACTTCAAGTTTTTCCATGACTTCCATTGCATCTTTTTTTTTTTACCTCAATTTGAAATACAATGCATGTATTTCCTCCTTCTCATGCATCCTGAATTCGAGTTTTAAAATGGACCTTGCTTAATTTGACCTTATCTAGCTAATTTATCTTGTGCCTGTGTTGCTAAACAATGTTAAATGGAGCACGTTTCCTTGTATCTTCCCAAGTAACTAAGTCTCCTGCAAAATTCAGGCTATTAAAAGTGAGTGTGATAGGAGAACCTCCAAGAAATAAGTGAACTTAATATAAAAATTTATAATCATGTCAATTCCACTTTTTAAACAATTTCTGAAATGTTAGTTTGCTAGAATGGCTGGTCAGAAGCACAAAGGTTAGGTTAAGCTTCCTTCGTTAATGGTTTGGCTCAATGCACCCAGCAGTATAATGTATTTTATCAGTGAGGGAAATGATATTGGTTTAAGAGGTTTCATGTAACAGTCATATCCTGGCCAAATGTAATTTTGAAAACAATCAAGGCCATTATGGCTCACACAGAAAGAAAGATAAAGACAGATAGCTGTATATGGGTTTTTAATAAGTAATTCACCCTGGGTCTTGAAACATCAGATTGCCAAGTAATATTATTAATGTATAAGCATGTTGCTAAAATCATGTATTCTTTCCCATTGGTTGACTATAGATATGTTTCTGATGCAAATATCATGTAAGTGTATTGAATCCAAGCTATGTAAATAGACTATATAGTACATCCATCAAGCAGTTGACTAGATTATTCCACACACTAAAGAGCATTTTCTGACATCAATCTACATTCTGCCTAAATAGAACATTTTTCACCAATGATATTATGCATCATTTACTGTATATTTGATACTAATTGTTCAGCATATCGATCACCTGTCACTCAGAGTTTAGTGATCTTTGCAACTTGTCCTGGCAACTTGGAAGTTGCAGGCGCTTGGTTGCCCATTGTCTGTGGTAGCAGACTGGGATTTCCTGGACAGCGCTGAAACCTTGCCCTGGGCAGGCAGCATGGAGAGGAGTTAAGTGGGGGTAAGGGCCTGCCAAATTGGTACTTGAAAAAATTACACCCTTTTGATTTTCAGAGATTAGGCTATAGCAGCACACAAACACACTGCAAAGGTTAGCAGATGTCATTTATTCTGTGCTTTTCTGTTTGGAAGCAGTATTTCATTAAAGGGTCAGGATGAGGGCTGGCCGGCACCCTTTACATGGATGAACTGTGCCATTTTGTTCCCTGAGTTCAGTATGCAGAAGGTCTGCACAAGTGTTTAAAAGCAGGGATATTGAGGGACTGAAGAGTCTTTTCTACATGCAGACTCTGCATAGAAGGCAGTTACCCATCAAAGGACAAAACATACTGATAGCTAAAGGATGTGCTCTAACTATCAGAAAATCACCAACCACCTGATTAGAAAGGATCTGTTTTAATATAAATATGTTGAACTCTGATCAATTTTAAACATCTACTTCATATATGAAAATGTGAAGATTATTTTAAAATAAGTTTAACTGCAGCTGGAGGGGAGCTGTTAATATTGACTGTTCTGTATTTCTCACAGCACCTACATTATTGAACTCAAAAACTACTGGAAGCAAAGGCTTTATAAATAGGAGAAGAATATATTGATTTAATCATTTCATTCGTTCAGCAGTTCTTTTACAACATTTTTTTACAGCACAGAGTGGGGACTGTCTTCTTCCCACGCACTTTATTCACCAAGCAGGTCATATCTTTACTGTATTTTGCTTTATAACTCTTCTGTGTTCCAGGCCTTTCACTTTT